CCTGTGTGATGACACAGCGAGGGATGAGCTGGTATACCGGGGTCATCCTTGGCATATCGTTTGAGCTGAAGCAGATTCACAGGGGGTGCAAAAACCCTCCTTGTGATCCTTGGTGGATTGCTCGAGGACGAAGGCGTCGGTGGAGCCTCACGCCCGCATTGGTGACGGCGTTGTGCTCCTCCCAGCCAGCCAGCACCTCCGAATGTCGATCGCCTCAACGGGCTGGTGAGGAAAGACTCCGTAATTAGGGGCAGGGAGACCCTTGATGAAACCGTGAGGGAGGGCGAAGTCGCCCCACTGCATAAGGACGACAAAGAGTCCCAGGGTGGCCGAGTATTCCGCCTCTTCCTTGGACGGGAACTGGTGCCTCCCTGGGTGTCCTCCCAAGGGTCCCATTCCCATGCCGCATGCTGGTGATGGCATTCGCGAGGGTGAATCAGGTTGTTGTGCCGCAGCCGCTGGTGCTTACATCGCGCCGACATGAAGACGCAGGCCGAATAGGTCGTGCATCATGGTCTCCTCCTGGCCGTCCTCAACTCGGTATCCCCGAGGAGGGAATCGAGGTCCTCGGGAGCGATCCTGCTCAGCGGTCTTGTAGTACTGCGAGACGGCGTGCCAGGCCAGGCCTGGATGGTGGCCTCCGCCCCCAGCTGGATCTTCCCAAGCCTCAAAGAAGAAGCGGAACTCTTCCAGGTCGGCGATGCCTGCCTTGGTCAACGCGGCCACCACCTCCGCGGATAGCTGAAAGTTCTGGCCTAGCCTATCCAAGCAAACAGCGCCGTCCGCCGGCACAAGAGAAGCCGACATAGTGCTGGGTCTGGGTGGGGGGGGCGCTACACAACACTTGGGGATTTGCGTTGGTATCCACAGCATGACTTACCTCATGCTGTGGCCCAGTCAACTGACTGACTGGGGGCCTGGTTTCCCAGGCATTCCCCAAGCGCGGCGCGCTCTTCAAAGATCACGGACGTCACAACGAGGGGGGCCGGTGATCTAGGGCGGGATAGGGTGGGGTCAAAAAGCCAGTTTGGATCATCCTTGAGCCAAAAGGCCCAGCATGATCCAATACACTCCTTGCAGAATGAAGCCACAGGAATACATACATACATACATCCATTACATACACTACATACATTACATACATTACATACATACATACATACATACATACATACATACATACATACAGACATACATAATTACATACATACATACATACATACATACCTACCTACATACATACATACCATACCATACATACATGCATGCATGCATGCATACATACATACATACACATACATTACATTCATTCATACATACATACATACATACATACATACATACATACGTACGTACGTACGTACGTACATTACATACACACATACATTACATACACACGTACATACATACATACATACATACATACATACATACATACATACATACATACATACATACATACATACATACATACATACATACATACATACATACATACACATACATACATACATACATACATACATACATACATACATACATACATACATACATACATACATACATACATACATACATACATACATACATACATATACATTACATACATACATACATACATACATACATACATACATACATACATACATACACATACATACATACATACATACATACATACATACATACATACATACATACATACATACATACATACATACATACATACATACATACATACATACATACATACATACATACATACATACATACATACATACATACATACATACATACATACATACATACATACATACATACATACATACATACATACATACATACATACATACATACATACATACATACATACATACATACATACATACATACATACATACATACATACATACATACATACATACATACATACATACATACATACATACATACATACATACATACATACATACATTACATACATACATACATACATACATACATACATACATACATACATACATACATACATACATACATACATACATACATACATACATACATACATACATACATACATACATACATACATACATACATACATACATACATACATACATACATACATACATACATACATACATACATACATACATACATACATACATACATACATACATACATACATACATACATACATACATACATACATACATACATACATACATACATACATACATACATACATACATACATACATACATACATACATACATTACATACATACATACATACATACATACATACATACATACATACATACATACATACATACATACATACATACATACATACATACATACATACATACATACATACATACATACATACATACATACATACATACATACATACATACATACATACATACATACATACATACATACATACATACATACATCACATCACATCACATCACATCACATCACATCACATCACATACATACATACATCACATCACATCACATACATACATAAATACATACATACATACATACATACATTACACTACACTACACTACACTACATCACATCACATCACATCACATCACATACATACATACATACATACATACATACATACATACATTACAATACATGCATTACAATACATACATTACAATACATACATTACAAGACATACATTGCAAGACATACATTGCAATACATACATACATAAATGCATGCATACATTACATTACATTACATTACATTACATTACATTACATTACATTACATTACATTACATTACATTACATTACATTACATACATTACACACATTACATACATACATACATGCATACATACATACATACATTACGTTACGTTACGTTGCAGTACATTACATTACACTTCAATTCATTTCATTTCATTTCATGCCATACATGCATACTCATACATACATACATGCATTGCATTTCATTTACATTACATTACATTGCATTACAGTACAGTACAGTACACACTACACATACATTACATTACATTGCATTACACTGCATTACACTACATTACATTACATTACATTTCATCACATTGCAATACATTACATTACATTACAGTACAGTACATTACATACACACACTACATTACATTCCATTCCATTCCATTACATTACATTACGTTACGTTACGTTACATTACATTACATAACATTAGTAGATTCATACATACATACATACATTACATTGCATGACATGACATTACATACATACATTACATTACATTACATTACATTACATTACATTACATTACATTACAGTACATTACATTACATTACGTTGCACTACACTGCACTACACAATACATACATACATACATACATACATATGCATACATACATACATAAGACAAAATTACATAACATTACATTACAGTACAGTACAATTACAGTACCGTACAATACATACATATATTTATTAGATTACATAAAATTTCATGATTACATACATACATACATACATACATACATACATACATACATACATACATTACATACATTACATACATTACACACATACACACATACATACATACATACATACATTACATACCTGCCTACATACATACATACATACATACATACATGCATGACATGCATGACATACATACATACATACATACATACATACATACATACATACATCCATACATTACATTACATTACATTACATTACATTACATTACATTACATTACATTACATTACATTACATTCATACATACATACATAATTACATACATACATACACATACATACATACATACATACCTACCTACCTACCTACATACATACATACCATACCATACATACATACATGCAGGCATACATACATACACTATATTACATACATACATACATACATACATACATACATACATACATACATACATACATACATACATACATACATACATACATACATACATACATACATACGTACGTACGTACGTACGTACGTACGTACGTACATTACATACACACGTACATTACATACACACGTACATTACATACATACATACATACATACCTGCCTACATACATACATACACTACATTACATTACATTACATGCCATGCCATTACATACATACATGCATACATGCATTACATTACATTACATTACAGTACATTACAATACGTTACATTACATACATACATACATTACATACATACATACATTACATACATACATTACAAGACATACATACATACATACATTACATAACATTACATTACATTACATGACATTACATGACATTACATAACATACATTACTTTACATGCATGACATGCATGCATACATTACATACATACATTTCATACATTCCATACATACGCCACATCGCATCGCATCGCATCGCATCACATCACGCTACACTACATTACATTACAATCCACCGTAGCATTAACATTTACATTGCATTCACATTTACATTACATACATACCACACACATACAAACGCAAACAACCATGCAAATACAATGACAAACGCAGATGCACACCTGTGCACATTCGCGCGCACACGCTCTTACACAGACCCTCGCACAGACACACACACACACACTGACTCCCACACACTCTCACACAGACTCTCGCACGAACACACAAACACACAAACACACACTCACACACACAAACAAACAAACAAACACACGGACGAACACACAAAACACACACACAAACAAACAAACAAACAACCAACCAACCAAACAAACAAACAAAAAAAACAAACAAACAAAGAAACACACACCCACGCAAACAAACAGCTAAACAAGCAGGCAAACAAACAACCACCTACGCACACACACACACATGCAAGCAAAAAACACACAAACACCCACCCACATCCACACCCACATTCGACCCACACCCACACCCACACCCACGCACACACAAACAGCACTCATCAACCAGTCCGATCTTGTTTGAGGCAAGCGCCTTGTTCCTCTCAAAGAGATCGCACAGCGCCTGGACATACCTTGCATGGTTCTGCTCGAGGTCGGCACTCGTGGGGTGGAGCGTCCTGCGGCATGCTGCAGGGCTCCTTATATGCCCAAACATGACTCCACCATAAGGAAACCAACCTTAAACTGAGGCAAAAGGTGCCCCCAGAAAGAAACCCCAGGTTGAAGTCCAATTTGGAACCGTGTGAAGGCTGTCTGAAGGCAGAGCGAACGAAGAAGCGGAAGTGAGGGCAGCTTCCTGTTGCTGGTTCGTCATCCCCAAAGTCTACCCTGCTCAAGAAATGTTCCAGCCCTGCCTTCTTTGGTCCATGCTTATTTGTTTCTAGGATTCCACCCCCTTTGGGCAACCTGACAAATGGACCACGCAGTTGGTTCGCTCCCTACCTCGATGTTCAAAGGCAGCCTCTGTCAGGTTTGATGTCATCAAATGTGCCTGGGAACAACCCACCGCGAACGTTTGCCGCTCCCCAAGTTTGCGGCCAAAAGCTGTTATCTGCCTCAACACTCAACGCAATGCTTCTGAGACGGAATACTGCTGAAAGCCAGCTCCGCAGGCATGGAAAAGAAGCCTGACCCTGATTCAAGCTTCCCCATTCGAGAACTCGAGAACAAACTGTCTTGGCGAGATTTTAGTATTTAGAATTGCTTTGAAACAAGAATATGACCGACTACAAACAAAAACCTTTGAAGGGGGGACGCCTCAAAAATGTAATGCTCATTTTCGGGGCTTCTGCAGACCGGACAATATATAATACTACATGTTGGACGTCTGGTGGACCCATCAACAAGGTACCTCAAACACAACCAAATTACAAAAGCCTGTGCGCCTGCACCCACCATCCAGCATCACCAGCTTACATTGTGCAGACTTCCCCAGCCACATTTGCGGCCATCCCTACCTCAGCGCACATGCCTTAAAAAGTTTGTTTACGTGCACCACGCTGACCCCAAGAAAGGGGGAGTGAGGGGGGGAGGGGAAGCAATCTTTGATGGAAAGCCGGAAACATGCACCCGGGTGAAATCCGCTTTCATTTGATTGGGGGAAGGGGGGCCGGGGGAGGGGGGAAAATGCAAATAACATTTTCAGACGTGCCCCCCTTTTTCGGACCCTAAGAGGGTGGGGATTCTCCAAAATGTAGTGAAAAGGGAAACCAGCCCAACAGAAACTCTTCAAACTGTTCACTTTGAGGGACCCAGAATTGCTCCTTGTGGTTCTGCATCTCCAATTCCGCGAGCCACAAGTGGGCCAGGCTTCAGTCCGAACACCACAACCATCCGGAATCCTTACATCACAAAACTACCACCCCTTGACCCCAAAAACCACAAAATCACGAACCCCACACCCCATACCTTACACTCTCAAACCAAAACCCCTACCTCACCTACAGCAACTCCCTACAACAGAAAAAGAGCTGATTGGATGGGGAAACATTAAACCAGAAACAGTAAACCCAAAAATCCTGAACCCCCAAATCCATTAAACTGTAAACCACAAAAGCGAAAGGCCTAAACGTTGGATCACAAACCCATCACGATAGTCCCAAAACTCCAAACCTCGCAGAAAAGGGCTTTAGATGACACACGCACACACACACACAACCAAATGGGGATACCGGGGTAACTGTATATCTTTTTGTTGTGTCGGTGGTTCAGTCCTTGGCATGTGCACCGGTTTGCCCACCACCATGCGGATGGGATCCGGAAACTTCAGAAAGGGCCTCAAACTCCGAGTGCGTGCCAGCTGATGTTGTCGACAAACGTCTCAAGCGCGCCTTTCCAAAACAGGGTTCCCCCAAACATACGTCCAAAACTCACCTGAGTTCACAAGGGGCCTCCAAACCTGGTAAATGTGGTAGCAGCCAACATATATCCGTTCAACAACACTACCAAGAAACACATCTCTTGGGTGCCGTTCCGTAAGTGGTGCAGCTGTTTCGCCAGTGACAAGTCTCAGCCAAAGACAGTCCCCAGGGGCCGTAGGGCATGACCAGCGCAATACCTGCAATCAAAACCTACTACTAAAGGGGCCCAGCGCAGGTCCCACATTGCAAGAACCAGCAGGGCAGATGCCTGCACCCATGCTTCTTGCATTTCACAACTGTTCATTGTGCCACAACTACAACCTTTACTTTTCTGCGTTTGATGGGCATGTCTACAAAGTAGGGGATTCCAAAAATGGTTGGTTTGCTTGTGGTTGCCCTTGAAGTGAAAACCAGCCCAAAGTGGGCTTCACCCGAACAAAACATGATAGTGGCGCTGCAGGTGCATCGGACGTCCCGCCTAATTTACGTTGCACCCAGGATCTCAGACCGAAGAGCAACTGGGACTGTTTGTACCTTGGCATATGCCAAGTCTTTACCCGCAAATGCCAATGCCCCATAAATTCCTGACCCCTAAATTTAGGAGCAAATTAGCACATGTTCAAGGGATATTGGAGACTCCAAGTACTTCTCTGCTTGTTTTGTTTCTTCTCCTTCTGCTGCACTTGCTCCAAGTTTCTGAGTGCCTGGCAATTGAGCTTCACCAAACACGTAGACAGGAACTACCCTGGCAGGTCACCCACAAGAATCGGAGTTTCAAACTCAGGCACGTCTGGCACAACAGGGCCCTGTTTTCAACCCAACCCGTTTTGGGGCCCACAAAGCAAGATGTAGAATGGGTTGCTGGCAAACAACGGGTTTAGGGTTGGAAAACTGGGCCCCCAGAAAAGGTGTCGGGTTGACGGCACTCCATGCTGTAAGGCCAACCGCACAAATCCCTGCGCGTGTCGGCGCACAAGTGATGAATCCCCTTCTGGGATTCGATTCCTCGTTTAATTTGTGGAGTGATGCTTTTGGAAGTTCATGACAAACAAAAGGTGCTCATCCGGGATTCCAATTGATTCGCTTTCGTCTGCGCCGCATGCTGGCTGAAGACTGGCCTGGCGATGCTTCAGAACCAACTTCTCCACCTGACCGCGCCTCAACCGATGTGTGCCCTCCAAGCTCGCAGCAACTTACCTGCTTCTATGACGAGGCAACTTCTATGAGGCTTCTGACATGGTCAAAAGCTACCCGCAACCCATGGCCGGTGGACAGTTCAATCCCCAAGCTCGGATAGGAGCTTGGTAGCCTCTGGTAGGTGCATTTCATTCAAAAGGAAGTAAGGGAATGACCCTCATGGCCACAACTTGCACGGGCCTTCATTCCACCAACTCCAGGGTCTGACAAGGCACTCCGCTGCATTTCATAGTTGGTTCTTGATGCTGTTTGTTGCATTGCACCCAAAGGAAGAAACACACCGGTCACAAAAATGAATGACCCATGGAGGGTGCAAATGGGATATATATATATATATAAATGCACCTCTTCATATATATATATACATATACCATATTTCTCACCTCGTTTGTATGGGCAGAGGGCTTTCACCCCCCACTCACTGTCCTCCAAGAATTCTTGTAAGCTGCCTAGAAGTTCACTTTAATTGCTGGTGTGGGAGGGGGGGGTAAGAGTGACTTATTCCACTTGCGCCCTCCATAGGACATCAAAACAATTTCTGATAAGTAGATCCTTCCTGCCCGAGGCAGGTGTACAGAGGGGCTGGCGTGAGGGGTTGGCGTGAGGGGCTGGCGTTCTCAGGCGCAGAGGCTGCTTTCCCCGAAGTTGACTGCGGTGAACACCGGGCTTGCGCGCTGGCTCCGCACAGGATGCGTCTGAGCATGCTGGACTTACATAGGTGTTTGTTCAAAATGAGGCACACTTGTGGGTGTTGCCCAAAGCACTTTGCCCAAAGAAACTTAACTTGTGCTCAACAGCAAGAAGCAATAGAACAGAGAAATGCGCTGCGCTACATGAAAGCACTGTTTTTGTTGAAAAAGTACAGATTTCACTGAACTGAGGTACCCAATTCTGGCGCTAGCTAAACTGATCACACTAATGCACATTGGCCAAACAACCGATGACAAACGTAGCTGTATGTCAGAGCCACGCAACGCAAATCGGCCACAAATAAAATGCGTAGAATCGGTTGTTCAGGAACCATAGCCCCGGCGCACCTAGCCCTTGTTGCCACATGTCCTACTCTTTAAAGGTGAAAGCAAAGCAGCAATCAATGCTGAATGCAGAGAATCTTGTCGCTAACACTGCTTTTAGCAAGCATCTCCAATCCTGCATCAACGGTAGCGCAGGAGGCTTGTCACTATGACATGGTACTATTCGTGCAAATGCTCAAGCAGCAAACGGTAGCTAACTGTACGAGCTGTTGAGATGCAAATCTCAATCTATAAATAGGTACCCACTATATAAGTAAATCACATTAAACTTCAAGTAAGTTGTGTGGACATCCTAGAACTTTGCAAATAAGTGCCAGTGACTGGCAGGGGGAACGGCTAAAGGCTATCCAAATTCTGGACAGCCTAGTGGGTCGCACTATCCTGGGGGCCGACCGAGTCTGGGGTTTTTTTGGGGGGGAAGGGGAAAAACACGAAGAAAACACATCTTTGCCCCCCCCCCTCCCTCTCTGGCCCGCTTCTCTCCTTCTCCATGTCCACTCTAGAAAGTGCAACGCGCAATCCTTATTACTGGAATCCGCAATGCCCACTGAATTTTCGAGAGAAGCGTTGCGAAGGCCATGTTTGCGATTGAAAGCAAGTATCACAAAAACTGCACAAATCGTAATATGCGAAGAACGCAGGCCTCCACAACGTCCCCTTCTGTTGCTAAACGCAGAATGCAAACAATACGCTTCTTTGCAATTGAAACCTGTTTGTGCAAATTCTCCTTAGCACCAGTCCCTGGGCCACGTACCCCCCCCCCCGTATGCCGTATGGGGTTCGTAGGGTCCCCCCCGCTCCCCCGCATCATCTGCATCTTGGGGATGATGCTGGCAATGCTGGGGATGCTGTCCAGTACCGTGGGAGCCCTGCAGCTTCGGTCCCAGACTCCCCCTGTCACCCCGTGGAACACACACATATATATATATATTATATATATATATACATATATACACTTGTTTGTGTAATCCTGTATAGCGAAGGGCGTTTTCAACATATCCAAATGGTTCCATTTAGAGACAGCTGGGCCGCGGGCTGTGCCAAAAGCTGCTCGCGCTCGCCCCCCGGCACAACTGACAGACTCAGCCTCGACTTTGAGCGCAAGGCTCAAGATTGCAAGGGTTACGTGGCTGAAGATCGTTGTCAACAAAGAAGCTGTTCGTATCGCAACCCTTTTAAAAGACTGACACACCCTCAACTAGCCTCAGCGAAAAGTGCTAGAAATGACACGTGTGTGTGTGTTTGCTTTTTGGAAATTGCACCCTCTCATGGTCTCAGCGGAACCAAAAGCCCCTACATACACACGCGTTAGCGGTTACCCTCTCACGGGCGTTGCCATGGAAGCCACCCGGAGGCCAGGTTCCTTTGAGAGTTCCAAGGAGTTTGCATGTGCCAGTTTGGGATTCTGTCTGTTTGACGTATCACTCTTGCACGCTTGGTCCCCCATCACCTAAGTATTAGGCACCCTGTAGACACCATTTATAGAGGGATCTATGTCCACCAACCATTCTGAAATCGTCATGGCCACATTGTCAAACCATCCGGCACGGATGGCTTGAGACGCCGGCGGGTACAAATCCAGGGTCCCTTAAAGCGGCCATGGCCCACATTTATTCTCCAAAAGGACAGCGCTTTGGCGGACATGGCTCCCATGGACTATCCAGGTTGTCAATTTCAAGCGCGTATCTTTTGAAGGGTGCCTGTCTGAGCCTACGCAATCAGAGGGTGCCTACGCGACTACGCTCACTTTCCTTGAGAGCTACATTTCAGGCTTCGCAGGCAAAGACAATCTTGAACAATCTTGTGCTCAAAAATGAGGCGCTTGGCGAGCACGCGCGATGTGGGCCTGGCCAAGGCGGGAAAAGCATAATCTAAGCCATATACAAGAAATGTCCGGTGCCGGCACGCGGAAGTTTCAAAGGTGTAAACTTAGAGCGCGCTTCTTTTCCCGTACTTCTTTCTCTTTATCTTCCCCCTCTCTCTTTATCCGTCTCTTTCTCTTCCCCTTGCTCTTTCTCTTTCTCTCTCTCTCTCTGTTTTTTCTCTTGCTTGCTCTCTTCTTCTCTCTCTCGCATTGTCTTTTCTTTCTATTTCTCTTCATCTGTCCTTTCTCTCTGCCTAGTTTCTTTCTCTTTCTGTTTCTCTTCTCTCTTATCTTGGTCTTTCTCTTCTCTTTCTTCTCTTTATCTTTGTCTGTCTTTGTTTCTCTGCCTCTTTCCTTTTTGTTCATCCTTCTCTTTCTCTTCTCATTATTCTTCCTTATTTGCCTCTTTCGCTTCTTCTCTTAATCTTTTGTCTCTGTCTCTCTCTCTCTCTCTATCTCTTTCACTCTCCGTCTGTCTTTCTATTTCTATTTATCCTTCTTTATCTTTCTCTGTCTCTCTCTCCCTCTCTCCCTCCTTCTCGTTCTCTTTCTCTTTCTCTTCTGTCTTGTTCTTCTTCACGCTCTTTCATCCTGCTCTTTCTTTCTGTTTCCTTTTTCTGTCTCTGTCTCTTTCTCCGTCGCTCTCTCGCTCTCTCGCTATCTCTCTCCTACGAAAGTTAAACAACGCAAAACATCACGAGTTGTTCAAGGTGGACCTATCGAAAGTCCGCAGAGCTAACCTTTCCGTTCCATGGTGCGCAAGCTGAGAAACGTACAAACACAAGTTGTTTGATGTCGGCCGCTGAGAGTTGATCGAACGAAGTGAAAATAGCCCAAAAAATCCAAGCCAAGTGCTCAGGGGGTTCACCGATGAAGGGCCGCGAAGGGCCGTGCCAATGGTCCCGTTTCCCAGACCGCTCCGCACACGCGCGTCGCGACCACACGCTGGGCGGCGCCAGGAAAGACTTTTGTCGTGAAGACACAAGTCCGAAGGTGACCTGAAAGCACTGCACGAATTGAGCGGATGCGGATTCCTAAGCTTCGCTGTGTTGGGCCATGTTGGGCACATTGGACTGCGCGTTTCAAAAAGACGTTGGATCTTGTTGGATAAATGAAGATTCCGTGGACAACGTCCAAGCTGTGAGCATGAAGGACAGCTCCGGCGGAAAAGGGTCAAGGGAACACAGGGTGAGGCACACTGCCTATGTTAGCCTACCAGGGTCCTTTTGAAACAGCCTGCATCCAAACGACCACTCAACCCCGCAGGTTTGATTAATCAGAAAGAAGGACCGTACTAATCAGGGGTGGTTGCCTTTTAAAGACATCATCGATTTTAGTGGTTCCTGGAATGATAAACAGTTACATCTGCTCACGTGGTTACCGTGGCTCAACTAAAGCAGCCAATGTGCCCACTGCTCACCGACCAAGTTGTTTGGAGAAGCTTTAGGGGATTCACCTTTTGACTTTGAGACCCTGAAATCTGGTTCCTTCAATTAGAACTTAACCCTTCGCGATTTCAACCTTTCAAAGCCCTATAGCGATTGGTGAGCGACTGAGATGCTTGCCCTCCACAAAGACATCGCTCCGCAATGTCTCGATGTGCATCCACACCTAGGTCCAAAGTTTTGTTTTTGGACACAAAACAGTATTTGGTGAGTCTCCAAATAGGAATTGATTCTGCAAAACAGTTGGCTTCCATTTGGCTTTCCTTTGAAAGCAAAAAGGGAACTGTGTTCAGAAACACTCAGGTTGACATTCTGGGCCTTGCCAGAGTATGAACTCAAGTAGAAACAGCTGGCAAAGGTGGCTTTGGATTTGGCCAAAATGTATGCTTTGAGGAGCCCTGTATTTTACATCTTCTTGGGTTCTTTTGGGAAACCAGGAGGTGGATGAGGGATTTTAACCCCGTAGGGAAGTCTGAGCACTGAGTCCTCAACACCCCATGCCAAGGGCGATCTCCCTCACCACTGGCAATTTGAAGATGACCCCGGCCTCATGTTTTTGTTGGTGTGTGTGTGTGCTGTTGGAGGGGCACCCCGTTTTGATTCCATTAAAAGGGAAGCCCCAGAGAAACCATCTGGGGGTCCCCATTTGACAAATACCCATTTGCGTCATCCGCTGTGCATGTTTAGTCCTATGAGAGGCCTGATTGATGGAGGGCCATTGTCGATGGCACATCTCTTTGAGTAGATCCTTTCCTTTTTGAGAGCAACCTGTTCAAGGTCGATTTGCAGCAAAGCGAAACCAAAACACAAACCGCCATCCACTTTGAGGGTCCATTTCCCAATTCCAACACATACATGTCAGGCTGCGGACACTCAAAGCACATCTTCGACGCGCAGGAAGAGCTTTTTCCAGATCTGGATGGAAGCCCTCGGAACGGGTGGCAGGCCATGCTCCCTGATTTTGACGGCGCCTCATGACCAAAACAAACACGACAGCATGATGATGCTTCCCGACGAACTACACAAGTGCAAGAGAAAGCCTTTCTCCAAAATGGGCCCCTGATTGACAAGCTCTCGTCTCCTTACCTCTCTATATCTACTACCCCGACAACCTCGCCGGCAGCGCTGAGATTAACAAGTAGTGGCCAAAGGACAGCACACCATGCGGATGGACAGCCACCTCAGCGAGATATGAGGCGTATGCTTGGCTCGTCCCGCAAGCTTCGAGCCGCGACTTAGCATCCGCAGCAAACTCCCCATTTGGTGTAGGCCAAGCAGGAAACCAAAGCGAATCCTGTCGGAGCCTTTCCAGTACAGACACTTACGCCATTGGCATAGCAAGTGTGGTTCTGTTTTCTGTTCTGGTGGCCCTCATGTTCGTTCATTGGGAATTGTGATTGTGTTGCCTACAGCGTGCAGTCAAAGGGTCCATCAAGCTGGTCTGCTCCAGCTGGTAAGGCCATCACGACACATTGGTCGCAAGCTCGCAGTTCCTGGCCAAAGGTCGAGATGCAAGACTAGAAACCAGCTCTTGTTCCACTCGCGAGGCGCCACAAATTGTTGACTCCAACTTGCAAGCAGGCGCGCAGCCTCAATATCCTCAACTTTGCAGTCGACGTTGAAGAAAAACGGCAACACCTAGTTCGCCGCGTTCAACACTGCTCTTGTTGTTAAGGGGTATTGTTGAACACTTCGACAGCTGAGCCAGGTGCAGCGTTCCAGAAGCGCTGAACTGCGGCGAGAAGGAACAAGCTGCGGCCTGTCTGCAGCAAGGCGAGAGCTCTTAAGTCTTGGTTACACAATGATTTCAATCGTTTTCCAAAGAGCTTCCAAAACGCGATATATGACTTTTCCTGACAAGCTCACTAAAAACTCAAAAGATTTTGATCCAAACTCTGCTTTGGCATGTTTCTAGGCCCGGTGCGGCTTCCAGGGCGCCGCTCGTCGCCATTCAGAAAGCTCAGCAGGTAGCCTGCAAGCAAACCTCAGAGCTGGAGGAGCTGGGCGCCGATGGGTGCGTCTATATTCTCGGGCCCTCAAGATGGCAGTTTCTTCTTTTGCTTGCCCAATCGAAACCAAGATGAAACGCGCACCCTCAAAAAAGACGCAACCATCTGTATAAGACGGTTGTCTGACATTCCTTGCTCCGGAAACCGCCATCTTCGCGAGAAGAAAACATTCGCGAACCCCATCGCGGAACTTTCGCCGGGCTGCTGTTCACAACGTTCATCAGAAAAATAGTGCCCAAAGTACACTCCCGCAGTCCAAGCTCGAAAGTCGCAATGTTTGAATACGAAAGTAGTAGACGAAAGACACTTCCGCAGCCCCGGCTCGAAAGTCGAAACTTTCAATACCAAAGTGACACACTAAAAAACCGCAGCCGACTCGAAAGTCGGACCTGTTGGCCGCCCATTTCCAGAAACTGGCGGGGAGGTCCGCCGACTTTTGCGAAACTTTCGCGGATCTTACGCCAAACATTCACGAAAACGCTGCTGGAAAGCTGCACTCAACTTGACCCGAAAGTGTCAAAACTTTCACGAGCTGATTTCTGCTGGGGGGTGCTTTTGAAGCGACGTATTCTGGCGGCAACCCTCAGGCCACGCTTTCAACCAGCTTTAGTCTGTGCGCATTCTCCGCACACTGCTGGCAAACACGCATGGTTGGTCATTCCAGCTTCCTGTTGGCAAGCCACCCTTGCACAAAAAATCGCGAGACAAAACTTTCGTTACCCCCTTCACGGAACTTTCGCTTCGAGGACCTTTCGGACGACACTCATGTGCATGTCTGCCAGCAGATTTCTTTATGAAGGAATGCCTTGAGATGTCCCGGATTCTATGTAAGTGCCTGGAGCTTTGCGCCGCACTCCCTGAGACCCAGTCTCAAAGTCAGCCTCCTTCGTGATAAGGGCCACCATGGCCTTAACAAGATCGAGCATCAATCTATGCCACGGTCAAAGCTCCTTTGGACTGCGGGTATGGGCTTTCGCTGGCATCCTTATGGCTGTCTAGATCCCTAAGATGTCAATGACTAACCCTACATAAGTAAAGCAACCCGTTTCAACCACATTCCCGGTGAATCGAAACCTTTGATGCAGTGTCTGGCTGCGCAACTTACAAACAAACAAGGAACCCCGCCAACACCTTCATCGAGCTCGTGTTTGTTTTGTCCTCCCATCTTCCCTGTTCTTCCCGAAAACGGTGCGAAGGGTTCTTCCGGTAAAATCGCTATTTAGCCTTCTCACGCGGCAAGATGCGCGAGCGGACATGCAAAGCAACATGCACGAAAACACCTGCCAGCAAGATGCACAACACAACAGCACACGCACAGCAGGATGCACGAAAAAAACATGCAGAGCATGCGACAAGACAACACATTGTCGAGCGCACATGCGAGCAAGATGCACGAGAGCACATAAAGAGCAAGAAACCCGAGAGCATGCGCAAAGCAATTTGCTCCGAAGCACGTGCAAAGCGAGTTGCACGAGAGAACGCGCGCGCGCGCGGCAAATTGCGCGAGAGAACACTCGCCGCAAAATGCGCGGATCTGAGACACGCGCAGCAAATTGCACGAGAGAACACGCTCAGCATATTGCACGAGCCCACTTGCACGAGAAAACTCAGCAAACTTGCAGCGAGGTAGCGGCGCAACGAAACATGCGCAACGCACTTGCGCAAAGAAACAAGCGTCGGGAGCTCGCTCAAAGAAACATGGAGCACTTGCGCAAAGACACTTGCAGAGTGCAAGCTGCGCAGCCGGCTTGAGCAAAGAAACAACTTGAACAAGGAGACCTAAAAGTCTACGAGTTCAACGCTTTGGGACACAAAACAGTTATATGAACACTAAAAACGCTTGCCCACCCAAACGCTTGCAAATCAGCCCAATTGAAACGACGAAGGCACCGCCTTCCATTTTCGGGTGTGAAACTGAATATATCCATTTGGAAGTATCGACCGTTGCTTGGCCTTTGAGCTCAAAGAAGGTTGTCTCAGACATTGGGGTTGAGGTGGGTTGAAGGGTAGAACCGTCTCCCGCGTTTGAAGCGAAACTGCCGGCGAGGTCGGCGAGACTTAGGATCTGGTCATGTTCAAAGGACTCACACCGTAGGATTGAATGGTCAAGAGATGGGCCTAGAAGTTTGAAGGCACCCATGTTGAAGTTGGCTTAAAGGGAGCCAACAAAAACAAACCCAAACTTGTGGGTCCAAATTTCAGTTTGGGACAAGCTCACACGCTTAAAACAACCCCAGCCCGCGCGCTTCGGGCTCCTTTGGGCTTCCCTAACCAGGGCCTTGCTGGAACGAAACTGCCGGCTCTGGGCGAGGGACACACCGCCCCACGGAACTTCGGTTTAGTCCTCTGGCTTGGAGTCCTGCAGCTGCGCTGCCAGCGCTGCAGCGGAGAGCCCCAGGCTTCGCAGAGAGCCCCAGGTCCCGGCCATTGTGCGAAAACCACTCTTCTTGCACCAAGCCTACCTTTGCCAATGAAACAAACAGATTTTGGAAGGTGGAAAATCTGAAGTCAGGAGCCCACATTTTTTCATGGGCTTCAGTGACACTGGATTTTGGGTGAGGCTTCACCCCCCATTGGTAAATTTTGACATTTTGACGGGTCACTTCAACAAATTGCAGCCGATGCCCCATGCCTGTATGTGGGCTGACTTTTTGGGGATGCCCCGATGTGTGTGGGCTTGTTTGGGGGACCTCTCAGGGATGCTGCTAGCTTAAGTGTGGTTTGCTTTAACTTTGGTCTTATAGCTTGATATTGTTGTCATCTTTGTTCGTGAGCCATCAGGGCGCTCCGGCATCGGCGCTCGGCGCCTGAAACACACCGATCAGGTTCCAAACACAGTCGCAAGCTTTGCTCCGCTCGATTTTCTTCGCGCTCCAAACTTAGTGGCCAGCGGGGTGTGGTGTGGTTCGCGCTATACTATGACATACTATGACCAGCGTCGCAACACAACAACGTGCTGCTCGGCCAACTCCAAGCGGAGTCACAAAGTAGATTCCATGCAGTTGCTACCAGTGTCTTGGAGCGACGAACCCGTACGTCCGGGCTAAAGCCGAACTTCAAATGATTCTGAGATCTACGCGCTCGATGCATGTTGAAATTTCAATCCATGGCCCGATATGATGCGTGAGCATTCACATCATTCGCCAGAGGCAGTGAAAACCTTCTGAAAAAATGGGCCAAGGTCAGGAAGGCAAGAATCGCAACGTCCACCACCACTACAGCGGCATATGCGCTCCAAAGTTGTCCCCCGCAAGCAGCAGTCAATGGTCCACTCAGCACCGCCGTTGCTACCTGAGCTGCGGACATTGCCTGGTTGAAAACGCCGGTGAGTGTGCCACGGCTCTTGGCGTCAAAGCCGGCTTGCCGCTCTAGCCATGCAAACGGGGTGTTTGCAAGAATTTGGTAAGATACGGGCATGGCAAACACGACCAGCACTATTGCAAGATATCTCGCTGGCAAGCTTACATGAGCCAGGCAAACAGCCGTCAGTGTTACAGCCATTGCCGCAACTGCAACACACATGGACATTCTCTCTCCTCCCAGTAGACCGGTTGGGGCACTTAGCTCTGTAAGAAAGGCACCTGCGGCCATGAATACAATGGACCCAAAGAGCAGCCATTCAGTTCCTTGATGCACAGCGGAGTCAAAAGCAGGTGTTCCCGGTTGTGTTTGCAGAACCTGCGCCCATACACTCGAGAAATAGACATTCCAGGTGCTCAGTGATAGCCAGCCTGCAAATTGTAGCGCCCACATTTGCCAAAATCCATATGGATATGTCGACTTGGAACCTTTAAGGACAAGTGGACTTTCATTCTCATCTTCTTGAGCAGCGTTCAGCCCAGGACCTTCTGGCAGGATGATTCCAGTATCGCCACTGGCCACAAGCTGCAAGAGGGTGGCACAGGCTACAACCCCAGCAACGCTGATAAAGGCAAGTGTTCTCGGAAGCAGGGCAGAACAGCATAGGGCGAGAACCTGTGCTACGCCAGCTGATGCGGCGCTTCGAGATTCTGCAATATCAGGCTCGAATATGTCGTTCATTTCTGCACGGGTTGGCGTCACCAATAAATCGTGGCCTGCAAAGAGAAGCTCTAGAGACAGCGAGAGGGGATCAGCAAGCCACACGCGACCCAACAGAAACACTTCCAGTTGCATTCTGGTGCGCACATGTGTGTGGCCACACCAGAAACAATAATACATTCTGACTCGAACCAAATAAGTCCACCTCGAGCATTTGCTCCTTCCATCTAAGCGCCCGGCTCAAATCGGCCACTCCAAAGGTCACCATAGCCAGCATGCCAGCTGCGGCCTTGCAAGTTTGTTTTCCAAAACCCTGGCACAAGCGGTGTTTGCTGTTGCTTCGCAAGAATCTATTGATGGACGACCCTGCAACTGCTGGTTCTCGACACACGCAGCTGTTCATTCGCCCGGCAAAAGAACAGCACGTCCCCGCTTGGCTGGCAGAAGGAACTTCTGCGTTACGGACACTAATCGAAAGGTAGTCTTTCGCGCAGATAAGATGAAGGAAGAATGAACGCATGCGCGCACTTTCGCAAGGTCAGGCGCGGATTTTGTGGCAGAAGCTGAGGTACGGATTTGGTGGCAGGCACAGCACTTCCGCAGAATCAGGTATGAACTTCCCGTCAGGCCCAGCAGTTTTGGATCATAGACATAGATTGATAGATAGAAGGATAGAAAGATAGCTGGCTGGGTAGATAATTGTTTCTTTACAGAGAAAAAGAGAGAGAGAGATCGAGGAAGAAAAATGACAAATGGATTAATAGGTAGACGGAAAACAGATAGATAGATAGATAGATAGATAGATAGATAGATAGATAGACAAAAGGCTAGACAAACAGATCGATTGCGCAACTGCAAAGCTACCAGGTGAGCAAAGAAAGGGCGTTGCGCAACAATTTGCAACACATTTGCCAAGGGTACGGGCAACTTGCCTTTGCGAAAAGGGCCACATGGGAATGACAAGAACACGGTGGGTTACACAGAAGAACACACCACTCGCGAACAAGCACGTGGAACCACACACACACACACAATTGCACATGATCCAACATTCTGGCTCAAGGCCTGCGCATTTTGCACTCATTGCTCAGAGCACAGTCAAAACCATCTTCCTGAGCGCGCTCATATTTCCATTCATTTACACTTACCCCGCAATCGCCACAAGTACATCCTGGGTATTGTCCGAGTTAGCAACCTGACCCAAACATGGGTGCGGGGTGGTTTTTTGGCAACTTCCCTGAAACAAAAGGGACAGCGAAGCTTGACCGCCCCGCCTGTCAACACAACAAACTTTGGGCCATAGTCATCCATTTTGGTTGCCACTACGGTACGTAGCCACGGGAAACCGTCGCTGCAAGAAACCCGGGTCGCTTACTCAAGCGCTGCGCGCCCTTGTCCTTTCAATTTTTACAGCCCCGGAGTTGGCAGACCACCCGCTTTGCCCGGTCCCACAAACCCGGCCTTCGAAGATAGGAGGGGCATCAAGGGTGAGACCTTCGCAGTCTGTTTCAAGCCCAAGCTGCTAGGGCAAAAGAAGGTGAACAGCTGTGACATGAGGCTGCTTGTGTGTGTGTGTGTGACACACGCGTTGAATATCTATCCTGTGCAACGCGAGCGATATCCTGTGGAAGCAAACACTGATTGGGGCTGCTTTTTGCCTCTTGGTGCGCCCCTTGCGCATTGGTACCACGCACCGTAAGCCCATGCCCGACAGGCGAGACCTGAGCCAAATGGCCAGTCGCGTGACTGTTCACACCCTCCACGTCATGGCGCTGATCAGTCTGCTGCGTCGCCTCAATTCGTCAAATAGTTGGTTCGATCCACGACCGTCTGCGACGAACTTAAAGGGGGTGGGCTTAAAAGGCGAGCAACCCAGGGAACTGAACGATCGCGCGTCGAATTCATACCGGAGAAGGCGCGAGCAGCGATGAGGTGAAAGGATGCGACGCTGGCAGGAAGGAAGGGCGCCTGCAAGGGCAAAGGAAGATAAGGAATAGTTGACGCGCGTGATCGCACATGGTGTGGGCGAGGTTGGCGAGCGCTACGCTGGCGCGGTGTGTCCGGGTCACATATCCATTGTCCATTTGCGGAAAAACAAGAGCAGAATCTCCCAACGGGTTTGTATTTTCTGCTCCAATGTTGATGCGGCATTTTGCGCTTGGCGTCATCCAGTCTGCATTTGGCGACAGACTCTGAAAATCGCCGCCTTCCTTAACGTTGCTCGCGCGCTCTGTCGGCAAAGGTCGTCGTGTCCTTGGAGAGCCCGTCGATTGCTCTTGGCGCGTCGTCCTTGCTTGTTCCGAGGGGCGCTGCCCTTCTGACGCTTTGAACAATTGATCGCCTGTGTGTGAGCGGAATACGGGTTTGCGTGGTTCCTCCTTCCGCAGTGATCTTCTGAATGTTCTCGTCCTTGCGGGCGGCACGGGGTGAAAGGCTCCGCGTTGATTACCTCGTCAAGACATCCCTGACGAGTGGTCTTGTCTCCGAGTTTCGAGCATGTTGTCCAAAGGCTTGCCCCTTTGGTTTCAGAGCGCAGGTGTAGAGTTGGCAGTCATGGCCTCATTCTTCAAAGATCCGATCTAGTGCGCAATTCTACCCCCAAGCATTCCACCACAAACCCCTTACCAGGGCAGGGGATCATCTGCGCACACAAATCTGGATCATCTGTACACACAGGCTTTCCTCACTTATTGCGCCATGCACTCTGGATCATCTGCGCACACAAGGTTTCTGTCATCTGGCTCATCTGTACACACACACACTTTTGGCAGGGTGGGGGGGTGGGGGGGGGGGATTGGTAAGCACACCCGCTCAAGTGCGCCCGCTCAGCACTGTGGGGGGGGGGGGTGGTGGGGGGGAGGGGGGAATGGTAAGCACACCCGCTCAAGTGCACCCGCTCAGCGCTGTTTCCACGCATGCGGAAGAGTAGCCCGAAGGGGTGGGGGGTGGGTGGGGAGGCGGGGGAATGGTAAGCACATGCCTGCCACCTAATAAGCATACCCGCTCACGTGCAACAGATGGGGTGCGGTATTGGGGAAGGGTGGGGTGGGGGTGGGGGCTGGGGCGGGGCGGGGTGGGGCACACCCGCTCACGCGCGTCCGCCTAGCGCTGCATCCACGCTTACCACCTAATAAGCACACCCGCTCACGCGCGCCCGCCCAGCGCTGCACGCATGCCTGCCACCTGATAAGCACGCCCACTCACGTGCAACACATGCCTGCCGCCTTAATGAGCGCCTGCTCAGGGTGGGCTGGGCTGGGGTCAGGCTTTGGGGAGGTTGGGGTGGGGTGGGGCACACCCGCTCACACACGCCCGCCCAGCACTGCGCACACGCCTGCCACCTAGCAAGCGCAGGGTATTGGGGAGGGGGGGTGGGGTGGGGGTGGGGGTGGGGGTGGGGGTTGGGTGAAAGCGAAGCCGGGCGAAAGTCTGTCCCCCTGATTTACACACGAAGTGCAAGAGACTTGTCAAACCTTTAATGCAAGAACATATACACCACATTCTTTACCCCGAGCAAAATTGAGAGCGGCTGACAGGGGTAAACCGCACAGGAGACAACGGAACACAACATTTCCTATGTTCATACGACAGAAAGGCAAGGAAACATGCAGCTGTCAACGCCCCTGTCCCTTCTTGTGCATAGCAGTAAGCACTGCGTGTACAAACGATCCGGGGCAAAAAAGGCCCGCGTGCAGAGACGATCCGGTCCCGCGTGTACAGACGATCCGAATTCCGCGTGTACAGACGATGCACTGACCCCTTACCACCATGAGTCCCGTGAAGTGAGTTTCCATCTTGTGTCTGGCGCGCTTGTCAGGTCATGCCTTGATAGTCTCACGCAAGGAACTCCAGCTCACAAGACACTGCGGCGCGAACTTTGGCTCAATTGCCATTGGTTAATCTTGTCCTTCGGCTCATACGCCCAGTGACGGATGCTCGCGATGGGCCCGCGTCTTCTATGTCTCCACCGCTTGGCTACTTGGTGCTCGGTCAGCCACTTGGCCAGTCCACTCGGCCACAACTCAACTTCAAGTGGCTTTGGCCGCTTGGTTGACTTGGCCACTTGTTGCACTTGGCCGCTTGCTGGTTTACCTGGCCACTTGCTAGTCCACTTGGCCGCTTGGTCGGAAGGCCGCTTAGTCCATGTGGCCACTTGGTGGAGTGACCAATTGGCTTCAATTACTTTGTCAAACGGTTGGGTAAACTCAAACATAAATCCCGGGCTCAATTTACTTTGGGTCTCTTTGGGTTGATTCTCGACTTGGAGTTGAAACCCTGGAGATGCCTCTAAACCACTCTCGTGGCTGAATTCACTTTTGGGCTGCGATGCGTGATAAGCCGGCCCCATATTGTAAAGTTACACACACAAGCCGATGGGAGGATGAAGTGGGCTGAATGAACCATGCACGTGCCAATTTGGGGCCCCGTCCACACTATGAACAAATTAAGGCTTGCCATAGCCGAGGTCCCGGGCAGTGAGGCCCACCACTGACATGGCGCCGAAGAACACAATAAACGGCGTCCTTTGAATTCAGACTCAATCCGGAAAGCTCCCGCATCTCAGGTGAACGCCGGTACGCCTGCCAAACATTTTGAAGTTCCAACCATGGAAAGTCCTCTATTTCGCAAACGCTGAACAGTGAGGGGCCTTTTCAAGTGAGTACCTGTCACAATTTCCGCATTGGCATTTAACCATCCCTTGTAGTTACCCAAGTAACAAATTCCATCGTTTTTGGGCTGTGCCATGAAAGTTTAGCCTTGTCATCCAGTCCTGCCATGGATATCGCTCTGCCGGCCAACGTAGCCCTGCAGAAAAAGCCCAAACAGCGGGCTGATGGCCTCATTGGCTTCGCTCAACCATGTCTCGTGACAAATCGCTCAGTTGACAAAGGTGGAATATCAACATTCTACCAAGCCAGCGGCCCAACCAATGGACAGCAACGCGGCTGGCACCTGTCCCCAGCGCCGTTTCCGCTGGAGCTGAATTGAGAATCGAATTTTGCGGAGAAACGGTTCTCACAGTGCCTCAAAAGTCTCCGATGAACAATCGCCTCAAGCGCTTTCCAGCCTCCAGCTCTATAAGAAGCGGGATAAATAGCGCTTCGCAAACCTCGGGACGCATCTGGTTTTCTAAAATGCCACGTCACCCCCGTATGATCAACACCCATATACAGTGTGGAACGCAAGACAACAATGATTTATGTGGAATGTGACTAAGCAAGCAGATTGCAATGCTTAGCAAATCTCTTTTCTGGATGAGGCTGGTTGGATTATTTTCTGTTTGCTTGATGGGATTCAACAGAAGCAGCAAGCAAAGCAGCTCTTCAGAGTGGTTTCAAATGAAGCAGAATGACTTCGCGATTGCTTTCTCAGCAAATGCTTCCAGCGTTCACCAACTGTCAGCTTCCAGGGTGCGGGAAAAACTCCTAGATGGAGCAAGCGGAAGGTAAACATGAGGAGAGGTATGTTGCGCTTGGAAGATGGCAGAGATGAAAAAATAGCTCACCTCTCTTTTTGGGGAGTTCGGGTGAGAATGGCCATCCTGGGCTCTCAGGATGGCCATTCTCATCCTGGAACTCCTCTCCAAGCCTGTATTTTCTTAGGATCTACAATCAGTGGAAAAGCTTGAAAGAGATGGAATGGCACGCGATGGCTCTCTATTACAATGAGTCACAGAAGTTGGAACGAAAGGGTCTGTTTCTCGTTCCACCTCCAATCACACACACGAGTCGCCCAATGTGGTAGCATTCTGCTGAAGTGAGTTGCAGGGGTGGGGAACAGGCAAACAACGAAGAATGGCAATCTCTTCGCTTCCCCAGCCGTGTAGGCGTGGAGGAAGGGAGCAAGGAGAGCATGAGAGAGAGGGAGAGAGGGAGAGAGAAAGAAGAAAGAAAGAACGACAGAAAAGAAAAAAAAAGAAAGGGAGAAAAAGAGAAAGAAAGAAAGAAAGAAAGAAAGAAAGAAAGAAAGAAAGAAAGAAAGAAAGACAGCAAAGAAAAAAAGAAAGAGAGAAAGGGAGAAAGAGAAAAACAAAGAAAGAAAGAAAGAAAGAAAGAAAGAAAGAAAGAAAGAAAGAAAGAAAGAAAGAAAGAAAGAAAGAAAGAAAGAAAGAAAGAAAGAAAGACAGCAAAGAAAAAAAGAAAGAGAGAAAGGGAGAAAGAGAAAAACAAAGAAAGAAAGAAAGAAAGAAAGAAAGAAAGAAGAAAGAAAGAAAGAAAGAAAGAAAGAAAGAAAGAAAGAAAGAAAGAAAGAGAGAAAGAGAGAAAGAAACAAAGAAAGAACAATAATGAAAGAAGTACATTTTGGGCCGCCAGGTGCTCAAACCACCAACCCTAATGTTCGCTGCAGCTTGCTGCTTCAGAAGCCAGCCAGCGGCATTCTGACGCCAAAGCAACAGCGCAGTTCCTCTGACAAACAAATCAGCAATGGATGAACGCTTGGAAATTCCAGAATGTTGTAATTTAGTCAAATGTAGATAGTGTGATGTTACCAAGGGTCAAGGTTGTTAAAAGTTTGTTAGTTGTTAGCACTAGACAGAATTAGTTTTCATCTGCGGAATACGCTGTGCAGCAAGTAAAATTTGTTGCTCCTTTGTGTCCGTAAGGCTGACGCGACATGCGCTACTTGCTCGCCTGGGGATGTGTGTTAGATTCTTGTCTAGAATGTGTTTTGCGCGACCCATCCAAAGCACAGTGCGCACCACAATTTTCATCAAACTTTAAGCCAATACCAAACAAACCGCCAACTATCAACAGGTGGGTTTGTGTTTTTGTACGGTGGCCGGGCAGGAAGGTTTGAGCGCGGGGTATGATTTGCGGCCGTGATTCGCGGGCATGATTCGGGCGTCAGGTTCGCTGTAGCAGCAGAAGTAAATAGTGTAGCAGTAGCAGTAGCAGCGGCAGCAGCAGCAGCAGCAGCAGCAGTAGTAGTAGTGTGGTAGTAGTAGTAGTAGTAGTAGTAGTAGTAGTAGTAGAAGTAGTAGTAGTAGTAGTAGTAGTAGTAGTAGGAGTAGGAGTAGTAGTAGTAGTAGTAGTAGTAGTAGTAGTAGTAGTAGTAGTAGTAGTAGTAGTAGTAGTAACAGTAGTAGTAGTACTACTACTACTACTAGTAAATAATAGTAATGCTGGTGGTGGTGGTAGCAGTAGCAGTAGCAGTACATAGTATGTACTGAGGTTTACACTGCTGATGCATTGAAGGTCTATGTTGTGTCAAATTTAACTGGGGTGACCCTTTGGTGGGCATCATGTTTTGGATATTTGCGTGCCCCAGCCGTTCTTGATGGTTTTCTCCATGGAAAAACAGGTAGCCACATCTTCATAAACATACATGAAAATCGCCTACAGCGTGTTCGTGACATCACCTGCAGCGTGTCGATCACCTCAAACATTTTGAGGCGAGGGCACTCCAGCCCAGCTCCGGGATGGCCACCGCAAGCCTCACAATCCCTCAAAGAGTCCAGGGGACAAATGCAATGTTTGGCCCTGTGCGCTAGTTGACTCAGCTTGCAATGTGAATTCTGCAAAGAATGTATTGATTTGAAGAATGATGGATTTTGCCCCACTGGAACGCAACAATTAGCACCAGCATGAAGAAACTATCGAGTCTCACAAATCTACAGCCGGCAAACCTCCTTTGGCAGTGGGCCTATAAACGGCTGTCCTGCGCTTGGAACTGGTCTTCACTTTGCGTCACTGCCCACATGGATTGGCTTTACCTCCGCTACCTTCCTCTTCCTTTTTTTTTCATGCGCTCCTCTTCCTTATCCTTGTGTTTGTGGGGTTGTCTAACTCGAGTGTTCCTGTTGGCCTGTTGGGGGTCTCTCATTAGGAAACAAATATCTTATCCAATTTGTTGTCGGGTTTATACCATCCCTTTTGACTTCAAAGGGAATACAATAATCCCCCTAATAATGAATGACCCCAATTAATAAAAAATGGAAATCCGGGGCCCGGGACCAGATTTCCACTCCGCACAATTGATTTTCCATTGCGCCAATACTAAACCAATACCAAAGTCTTGGAATCCTTATTAGGGGGCACTTTTAGCAAGCTTCCAGCCCCACTTTTAAAAAGGTGGGTTCCTCAAAAGATGAATTCCCTAAAAGGTTGCGGGGCTTCAACTGTCTAGCTGCGACTGTCTCTCTCCCCGTACATGCTGGCTAACCTGCCTGGCTGCAAACAAACAACCAGTAAACTGAAAAACAAATAGAATGATACATAAAATGTCCTTATTAAACCGCTTACTCGCGGACCATTCAATCCATTTCCTCCAAATCCTATGTGAACCCTCACATTGTTGGAAAAGCAAAAACCCAACCCCAAAAAACCCAATTAAATATATATATATATATATATATATGGGTTTGTATTTTTTTAGGGTGGCCGGGCAGGAAGGTTTGAGTACGGGGTATGATTCGAAGGTATGATTCGCGGGTATGATTCGGGGGTATGATTCGCGAAAGCAGCAGCAGCAGCAGTAGTAGTAGCAGTAGTCGCCGAAGTAGTAGTACTAGTAGTAATATTGTAGTAGTAACAATAGTAGTAGTAGTAGTAGTAGTAGTAGTAGTAGTAGTAGTAGTAGTACTAGTAGTAGTAGTAGCAGTAGCAGTAGCAGTTAGTAGTAGTAGTAGTACTAGTAGTTGTAGTAGTAGTAGTAGCAGTAGTAGGAGTAGTAGTAAACAGTAGTAGCAGTAGTCCTAGTAGTAGTAGTAGTCGTAGTAGTAGTAGTAGTAGTAGTAGTAGTAGTAGTAACAGTAGAAGCAGCGACTGTAGTGGCGCGAAAGCTTTGAAAAGACTTGGCGCTGGCCTTGGCAAGGCAAGTTCATTGCGCGGGTATGATTCGGGTATGATTCGCGGGTATGATTCGGCTAGGTTCAAAACGGCACTGATTACAAACTCGTAGTAGCTGTGGTAGTAGTAGTAGTAGCAGTAGTAGTGGTAGTAGTAGTAGTAGCAGTTGCAGAAGTAGTGGTAGCAGCTGTAGCATAAGCAGCAGCGGCTGTAGTGGTGCGGACGCTGTGAAAGAGACTTAGCACTAGCCTTGGCAGGGGAAGCTCATTGTCCGGGTATGATTCGAGTATGATTCGCGGGTATGATTCGGCTAGGTGCAAAACGGCACTGATTACAGACTCAGAATGATGTATGTGGTAGTAGTGAGTAGTTGCAGCAGCAGCAGACGCAGGAATAGTAGTAGTAGTAGAAGTAGAAGTAGTAGTAGTAGTAGTAGCAGCAGTAGTAGTAGTAGTAGTCAAGGTTGTAGTCGTAGTAGTAGTAATAAAGGTAGTAGTCGTAGTCGTAGTAGTAGTAGTGAAGGTTGTAGTCGTAGTAGTTAGTAGCAAGGGTAGCAGAAGCAGAAGTAGAAGCAGTAGAGTAGTAGTAGCAGCGGTATACTCGTAGTCGCGGTAGTAGCAGTAGCAGTAGTAGTAGTAGTAGTAGTAGTAGTAGTAGTAGTAGTAGTAGTAGTAGTGGTAGTAGCAGTAGTAGTAGTAATTGGAGTAGTAGAAGTAGTAGTAGTAGTGGCAGTGGCAGTGGTAGTGGTAGTATTGGGTAGCGCTAGTGGTGGTTGTTGTGGAGACAGTGAACAACACAAAACGGTAGAAGAACAGTAGCATCTTGCAGCATACGTTTTAAGGGGTATGATTCGGGGGTATGATTCGGGGGTATGATTCGGGGGTATGATTCGGGGAGGTCCCACCTTCTGCCTTTTGAAGCAACTCAACACACCAAAAAAAGACAAACCCATATATATATATATATACATATATTGGGCGGATTTATTTATAATAGGGGGGGCCGTATTTATTAATAGGGGGATGAGATTAAAAAACAACATAAATTGATCCGCTCTCTTCTGCTTTCGGCGTGCTGAAGGATTCAATAGTCTCTTCTTTGACTTGTTTAAGCCATTCCACCCGCCAACACAACCATTCAACGTGTTCCCGTATGTTAAGCTTCCGCCACTTAGCCGAGGCTCTGCGCTGCAATCTTTTGCAGCTCAGTTGCTGGCCTCGGAAAGACTTACAAGAAACTATGCACCACGAGCAAGGCAGGAATACAAAGGAACCCCTGACAAATTTGACTGAGACGCTCGAACTGACCCTAAGAACTGCACCTGCGTTTGCCATTCGGCAACATGCAATGTGCGCCCGTCACAGAGCTGCTGAATTTCCTCCTCTCCAATCTGGCGGGATCGGGGATGGGGGTAGGCCTAGTGGGTTTCCTAATGGCCTGCTTTGAGCCAACGTAACAAGCGTAAATTGGGTCTCTCTTGCAGGCTGGAAATGAATCTGTGATGCTTTATCGGGTTGCGGTGTATCCAAGATCCGCCTTGTGCAAGGTTGTTATACTGTTTATATTTGACACACAAGTTCAAATTAGGCTCGCGCATGCATGGGCCTTTGGGACCCGCATGCCAACGGCTGCACGGATTTGAGTTCAGCGGGTTGAAGCACGCGAACATTGGCGGCATAGCAAATGAATCTACCTTATGCCTCCACGCGGCACTGGACTTTTAGAAGTGCTTAGTCTTCCTGGCCAAGGAAGCACCGCCTGGTGTCAGCTCTGAGTGCTCGAGCCGGTGCCGATGTCCGATAGGTGACATGCCCAGTCGTCACATCACATACACCCGGTCCAGTTCCCACATCAGCGTTGCAATTGCAAACCACCATGGCTTGCATTCACGTCATTTATCAGAGGTTGCACCATCTGCCGCGCTGACCTTCTGCACAAATAGCCCAAGGTCAGGAAGACAAGAAGTGCAATGTCCACCACCACTACAGCGGCGTATGCACTCCAGAGTTGCCCTCCGAAAGCGGCGGTCAATGGTCCACTCAAGACCGCTGTTGTTGCCTGAGCGGCAGCCAGTGAAGAGTTGAAGATGCCTGTGAATTTGCCACGGCTCTTGGCATCAAAGCCGTCTTGTCGCTCTATCCATGCAAAAGGGGTGTTGGCAAGGATTTGGTAAGATATGGGCATGGCCAGCACGACCAGCACGATCGAAACATATCGCGCTTGCAAGCTCAAATGAGCCAAGCACACGGCAGCCAGAGTTGCAGCCATCACCGTGACTGCAGCACACATGGACATCATCTCTCCTCCCAGTAGACCGGTGGGGGCACTTAGCTGTGTCAGGAAGGAACCTGCGGCCAGGAATACAATGGACCCATAGAGCAGCCATTGAGTTCCTTGCTGCACAGCGGCGTCAAAATCAGGGGTTCCTGGCTTTGCTTGAAGAATCTGCGCCCAAACACTCGAGAAATAGAAACTCCAAGTGCACACGGATAGCCAGCCTACAAATTGCAGTGCCCACATTTGCCAGAATCCACGTGGATATCTCGAGATGGAGCCTCCATCGGTCGGAGATTCATCTTGCCCAGTGTTCATGCTGGGAACCGCAACTGTCATGGGACGTGCAACTGCCATGACCCCCGTCTTGCTACAGCTGGCCACCAGCTGCAAGAGGGTGGCGCAGGCCACAACCCCAGCCACGCTGATGAAGGCAAACGTTCTCGGCAGCAGAAAAGCACAGAACAGTGCAAGCACCTTTGCTAAGCCAGATGATGTCGCGCTTCGAGATTCCGCAGCATCAGGCTCGAAGATGTCGTTCATTTGTGCACGCGTTGGCGTCACCAATACATCGTGACCTGCACTGGCAGACAAAGAGAAAAAGCGAAAACGAGAGAGAGAGAGAGAGAGAGAGAGAACCCCAACATGATACCCTCAGGGAAAGTTGAACCCATTGCCCATGCAGTTTAGGGCATCTCGATGGCACGGGCCCCTGGGCGGCTCACAATATCCGTCCTACCCAGCTATAGCAAGTAGCCAGGACCTCCAGTTTACATCATGGTTTTACCAAGCACTGGACTAGTTTTGTAGAGTCAGATGTGGCTTTGCTACGCTTTGCTGGTCCCTCAGATTTGACAAAGGGATTCCACCCAACAATTAACAATGGGGTCTCCCTATCTTGAGCCAAACCAATGTCATTGCATCTTTCCCAACTTCAAAGGGATGCTGGGAGTCAAAGACGAGTTGCTTGAACCTAAGCACCGGACTCAAGTCGGTCACGCCAAATGCCATCATGGCCAGCAGGCCAGCGGTCGCCTGCTGGGGTTGCTCCAAACTCCTGCAAGGGTAGAAATTTGGTCCATCGTAAGGAGAACAATCTAGGGCGCCTCCACTCCCCAAGAGAGGTTCTTAGAACTTCAGAAGGGATTCTTGCAAGGGTTCTGCGAACCTTCCCTTTTTGAAATGCACATCGAAATCCATTTTACTACCCACAGCTTTCTGTCGCATCAATCTCGATACGCATCCGCCCTTCGATCTCCATTTCACTTCAGCGTGCTTTAATCGTTTCAAGGCTGGGAGCCGTCGCAAAGCAGCCTCTTTTTCCCAGCCGCCCATCCGCTCCCCGCTCCCTCACCTTCGAAGAGAGGAGAGCCATCAAAGGAGTGACCTTCGCAGGGAATTCCGTAGCCAAGTCATAAAACCAAGGCACTGAAGGAAACACGCAGGTGCTTGTCCAGCCTTTGATGCTTGAAGCCTGAAACAACGTTTCAAATGCAAAGGGGTTGTGGGCGCCGCTCATTTGTCGGTAGATGCGAAGGCTTCGCAAGCTGTCCATTGCTCACTTCCAGTTTGGAAAGATCAGCTTGGCAAACCAAACGTCTGAACTTTGATCAAGGGGAGTGAGTCTGGTTTCAGCCTTCAACTCTTTCCTGGGGTAGGTAATTCAAGCACACCGTGTTTTTACACACGGCTTTGAGAATCCATGCAAAAGCACCTGGATTTCATTCTGACGTGCCTGTTGTTTATAGCAACAGCTTGATGCATGCATGCATAGCAGGCTCTGCAAAGCGTGGCCGTCAAGGCTTCTCAAGGCGGCGGTTAGAGCAAGCAAACACTTTCACATTGATTGTATATACAGTTTTGCAGGTGAATGGGCGCTAGGCGGCACCTTAGGTGGCATCATGGTTGATACTTTGAAATTCGCAGGCCAGAACTTGACAAAATAATTACAGTCTCTACAGTATCAGTTGAATGCTTGTGTATATTACATATATATATATGCAATTTAATATATACATTTATTATCCAAATATCATCCACAAATATGACATATAGCCTTTATCATTTGAACAAATACAAATATAGAGTGCTTCTTGCAGTGTCCCTTGCTTCGACGTGTACGGCTTCTGAAGCGGAACACGACTTGCAGGCAGGTCTGCGTAAAAACCTGCAACTGACGCAGGAAGCACTCCAACCGCAAGTTGTGCTTAACACCAGCTTCTTTGAAGTGGTGCTTTTGTAGTTTCGGGGTGTACACACAAGGTCATACGTTATATTCGTAGTGAAGCGTGTAGTAACAATGCTAGGAATAATATTTGGAGAAACTGCTATAGTATATATACATATATATGTATGCAGCGCCCCCAACCCCCCCTCCCCCCCGCCCCACCCAAGGTCATAGGTCATACAGGTAGAGCCCCCCCGCCCCCGGGGCGGTCCCTCTGTCCCTCTTTAGTCATCGGCACCCTCTTGTTGTTTTTATTTGTGAGACGAGCAAAATTGGTGAAGAAATGGCCTTTGGAACAGCGTTCCTTGCGTATGTGTCCAATGCATCAGAATCGCATGTTCCGCGGAACTGAGCAAAGTAAAGGGACCTGATCCTGTGGTTGGGTTGTTGTGCAGGCTTCGAGGCTTGGTTTAGGATAGGTCTGGTTGGTTTAGGGTTGGATCGGGGCTGGTTTAGGGTTGTCCTCCCCCCCCCTGGTCCGTGGTTGGTTTGTGGTGGTTAGGATGGGTTTAGGATGGGTTTAGGGTTGGTTTAGGGTTATTTTGGGGTGGTTTACAGTTGGTTTTTTGTGGTTTTAGGGTTGTTTAGTGTTGGTTTGGGGCTGGTTTAGAGTTGGTTTAGGGTTGATTTAGCTTGGTATACGTTTAGGGTTCCTTTTGCTCAAGTCAGGATTGATTCAGGGTTGGTTTGGGGTTGGCCGAGGGTTGGATTGCTTGGGTCGCGGGCATGCTGGGCTGCGGGTTGCGTTTTGGTTTAGGGATGGTTGGGGGCGGGGCGGCTGGGTCCCGGGAGGGGGACCTGTGGGGGACCATACCATGAAAGGGAGAAGAATCCACCTGTATATGTATATACGATATTGCAATTGTAATTGTAGAAGTGGAGCAGCGAGAATGATAGAATGGGTATCTTTCTTTGTCTGCCACGCCGTTCTAGCTTTGTCAACGTTCCGCAGTTCTGAAGCACTCGATTTCACACCCAAACTACCATGCACATTTTATCCCACGTTTTGGGGCATACTTACGAATGTAGATACGCCCCCCAAATAGCGTTTACATTTAGACTGCTGCTACTACACGCTGTTCTCTGCTCAGAAGGTTGCAATGGCGACTTAGGCACGGCTGCGCTACCAGAAGTAGCTTGCAAACAGCTTTCTAGCTTGACTCCGGCTTTGTCTTTAACATCATGCTTGTCTTGATGCCATCAGCGATGCATGACTATGGGTGGTCCCATGTTGTAAAGTTGCTACACCTTGAACTGGGTCGGATGAACCAGGCATGCTGGAACAACATATCAAACATATTATGCCAACTTCCACAACTTGAGGTTTACGCTAGAACATACACCAACGTCCAAATCTAACCCTTGCCATCGGTACATGCCAGACTGACGTCCCGGGCAGTGAGGCCCACCACTGACATGGTGCTGAAGAAAAGTATGAAGGGGCTCCTTTGAAATCGCGAAAAGGGAAAGGGAAACAGAACGGAAGTCCATAATACCAAACTCGGAAATAGGGGATCCTTCAGTAAAGAACTAGCTCACCAGCAAATCGGTGGAACTGGCAATAAAATTGGCTTTCGTTGTGCGTTCCGTTCAGAAGGCCAGTTCCCCCATTTGGATTGAGTATTCCCCTCACTTGTGCCAGCTGTTTTTTCCTTCTTTTGTTTTTTTCTGGGGTATATCCACATGGACTTTGACATGAAAGTTCATATCCGTGTCATCCAGTCCTGCCATGGCTGTCGCTCATTTTGCCAACGCAGGGCTGGAGGACAAGGCCGGCCAAAGGGCTGATGACCTCGTCAAGTCTGGGTTCAACTTTTCTTGTTTCTTGGCGAGATTCCGTTTCATATGTCTACCCTGAAAAATAAGATAGTGTAGGAGGAGACCCAATGCGTTTGCTTAAAACACGCGACCAAAAAGAAGTCCACTTAAACATTGGCAAACGTGGCCTTGACACATTTGACATGTGGAATACGATACCAAAAAGAAACCCGGCACTCAACTCGGCCAGCGGCCCAACAAATGGCCAGCAGCGAGTTTGGCACCTGCCAGTCAGGCGGACAGGGAGCAAACGAACAGGCCCCCCCCCCGGCAAGGTTAGTACCCGGTCTGCATGAATGGTTGAGCCCCAACGCGCAAAGCCAAGGCGAGACTTCAAAGCCACCGTGCAACATTGCTAGGTGTGAGGCACAATGGGTGGACCCCAAAAACGGATCTCACAAAACACACCGGCTTCTCTGGTGCTGGGGAGGCCTCTCCGCACACAGTCCTCTGCCAGCCTCTAACTCCAAGAGAAGAGGCATAAACAGCGGTTCACAAACCTCGGGCGGTTTCAGTCAAGCCCCCATCAGCACACACCAAATGGGACAAATGTGTATGACAATCTCAATTGGGGGCCCTTCGGATATCTGGAAATTTGCCGAACTTGCCAAACATTTTTGACATTGAAGGCACACGCGCGCTTCCTTCGAATTGGGGAGAGCGCGCTCCAGCCAAGCTCCGGGATGGCCACCGCAAGCCTCGCAAGGATCCAGAAAGGCCAACCAAGCGAGCCGAGGTGAGGCGTTTGTTTGTTTTGCCACGTCTGACTCAGTTTTTCAATATCTGCCAATGCGTTCATGGCTGTTAGCAGCTTGATAGCACACAAGCAATACCTCATTCAATTCTTGCCGAGACTCTGCGCGGCGACCTTCTGCAGGCGAGTTGCCGGCCTCAAGAAACGACCCTAGAAACTAGGTCATTCAAATTTGTTGAGGTCCCGAATCCAAATCCGGAATCCATAGTTGGACACTACTAAGGCAAACCACTATCATCTGGCAAAATTGAACAACCCACGCAAGAACTTCCAAAGAAACTTGTGAGGCGCTGCTCAAACTGACAGGCTTAAGCGTTGAACCGGCGGCTGTCACAGTCAGGCGACATAGGGGAGCGCGGCACAGGCCAAGTTGTCTGTGTCTTGGTCGGAATGCATTGCTTTCGTTTTCGATTGGAACGGTGCGGCCAGCTGACCGTTGACTAGACACAGATCTGCATTGGATTGTCTGAACACAAGTGTAGCAAATGTTCGGCAAACGTAATGGATGTCAGGCACGGGCTTTGCTTGCCTTGCCCACTGCCAAGAGAGAGCGCTCTTTTTCACAGCAACTCAGCAACGAGAGGCAAGTAACGAGTTCCAATGACAATTTGCCATGGACTTGTGAGTCACAATCAACACATGGAGCTAAAGGAGGTCTTCAAACACCACAGAATCAAGCAGGGCGCATATCCGCACCGATCAAAATTCTACCGAGCGGGACTGATTGTGACTCTTGTGAAACGGAGACATCCAGGCAACTTGGTTGCTGATGAGTTCGACTTCGATGCAGGAAGGACCAAGGGTGTCAGCAATAGATGAGTCGCAAACTTGAGGCGGGGGAGCAATGCGAAACGCCAAGGTGGGTGCTTTCCTTTTGGTCCTCCGAAAAGACCATCGGGTGCCCTCTCAAAACAAATATCACTGCACCAGATTCCCGTTTGATGGTGTCCGACATGCTTGGCAGTCACCTGCATGGAAGCCAAGTCCGTCGATGCACTAAGAGCTTCATGACACCAGCTTCCCTTCATGGTACCTCACTCGAAAACACACCGCGCTGCGAAACACGTCTAGAGACCCACCCCCTAAAAGAAAAACAAGCGTTTCCCTTAGGTTCCCCTAAAAAACAACCCAATATGGGTGCCCCGAAAAAGGCACTTTCCACTTTGCATTTCTCCCCAACCACATAGGCTTCTGGGGTTGTGGGGATACCACTTA